CTTATTAGTAAAAAATTAAAAAATTCATATTTTGAAAATTTAGAATGAGAAGAATTTAACAATATTTTTTAAAAATTTAATTTATTATACATCAATTGATAAAATGTAGTCAAAGTAGAACATGTGAATAGTGTAAAAAGTCTAATGTTGCAACTAAAAGAGAACGGAGGTAGTATATCATATCCTTTCTTATTTTCAAATAATTTTTCTTTAATTTGTCATTTCTTAAGCTTTAATGTATCAATATTTTTTCTGGAGCACTTGTAGTTATTAAATCAAAGTTATATTTTCATTGTCTAAAATTAGAATTAGAATATAATAGATTTAATTGCCATCGTGTATGTAGTATGTACTAATGGAACTTTTTAAATAAAAATTAGCCACAGAGCCCTACACTAGCGAAAAAATTCGCCCTGCTACACTAGCGATTTTTTTCCCGTTACGCTTACTAGCGAAATTTTTTCACTCCCTACACTAATGAAAAAATTTCGCCCCCCTTGACTCGAAATCCTGGATCCGTCCCTGTTTGTACCCAACTATGTTTGCACAAACAAAATATTTTGAACATTGTTGTAGATATAAATAGAACGAGTGGGAACAATAATATGAATTCCATTTTCTCAGAAGGACATTCCAGTTCCTAGGACAACAGCTCACAATCATTTTTTTCAACCTGAACAGAGCACACAATAAGAACCCAAAACACAATTACAAACAAATTCTGCATTTAAGACAAAAGATGAGCAGAAAAAGGAAAAAGAAAGACCGAAATGTGGATAGTTTCAATCTCAGGGTGATCTTATTAATGAGATCAAATGGGTGGGTGGAGTAGGTACCTGCAACTCCTGCAGCGAAGCTGAAAAGGGAAGAAGCAGAAGAAAGGGGTCCGGGAGACAAGAAACTCATCCCAGAAACGTACGTAGTAGAGGAGAGGACTGGACTGGACTGTATCTCCTTCTTCTTCTTCACCTCAATATGTTGCAGTTGCAGAGAAAAGGAGCGCTTTCCTCAGGGCGTTTCAACTTTCACCTACTAGTCAGTCTTCCAACAATGATGGGTGCGTGGAGAACTTATCACATGTGATAAATAATGAGTGCTGCTGAGTATCATCCGTCAACCCAGGTGGGGCCCACATGACAAGGTTCGTATTCTAAACGCACCTTCGTGCATATCCCCGAGAATTTTCAATTTCATTCCCCTTTTTCTTTCCAGCCACATCCCACACCTCTTATACTCCCTATTTTTTTGGAATATTTTTTTAAATCTCCTACTACTTCTTTCCTTAAAATTTTACCAAAATTGACTATCACGGAAAATTATAGAGAAATAACAGAAACCACAAAATATAATTTATTAAAAGGGAGAGTGACAAAGTTTTTTAGGACGGTTCCAAAAAGGAAAGATACTAGTATCTTTTTTTTATTGGGATAAGACTTGAACTTGAGACCTCCTTCATAAGAGATCAACATGCTATCACACTATAATAATAATAATGTCCTAAAGTTGAAACGCCCCTGTCCAATTCATACCACCTGCTCTTATATTGGAAGAGGGAATTTGATGTTATGTAATCTAATCTAAGTTTACCTAAAATACTTTATGCAGTTGAATACCGTCAATTATTTTTAGGCTTTCAGCCAAACAAACAACCCAAGTAGAAGTTAGTTTAAATTCAATTTAAATGTGTTCAATTACAATTCAATAGAATGGTTCCGTTATGAGTTAGGCGCGACGTGTGTCTACCACATGCTTTAGATTCTGCATTTCCAATTGATTCCAATTCGGGAACCCTGACGTCGTCTTTCCTCTAGGATACGCGTCTCATGATTGTAGATTTGTAGGTATATATACATATATATATATATACAGTTTATATGTATGAACTGCCCAGTTAACTTCAAGAAATTATTTGAGTGCCTTCCCGATTGAATTTTTAGCTGAAATTTGATATGGATAAACTAGACTTCATGAAGAACATGCTCAAAAAATTTCATCAAAAAAATCAATCGGGAAGTGCCCGAAATGCCCTCGGCCGGACGGCGGTTCCCGTCAGGCCGGCTGGACATGAAGTTTTCTCTCTCTCTCTATATATATATATATATACACACATGTATATGTAGAGTAATGTTCCAACCATACTTTCCTGACGTCTCGATTTTTTATGGGATTAGAGATAACAATGAGAGTACACGAGTATAATTTTTACATGGCTATCTCACTCTAGTAGAATGTTAAAGATATATAGAGACAAAAGAGTACATTAGTTATCAAAAAATTAATAACACTTTTTATCACATCTTTTGGACAGATTTTTGAATAAAGCATCTTCCTTAACACTGGGAAGTTCAAGTTGGATTGTGTATTTATCAATGTGTTGTTTCAATTTTTCAAGAATTGGTGACCATTTTTCAGTGACGGACTTGTTTACTTTATAGAAAAAGGAAAAAGGATGTGTTTGAAACCCTCACAAATGAAATTATAATTAGGGATGGACCGGTTCCGGGCCGACCGGCCCAACCCGACACTGTTTGGAACTGGCCCGACCAAACGGGCCCTGAACCGTGGGTGGAGTAGGTACCTACAACTCAGGGTCCTGAACCGTTGGTCGGGCCCTGAACCGGCCTTTTTGTTTTTGTTTTTTCATTTTTTTTTGTTTTTCCCAGGTTAGGCTGGGTGTTTTGGGGGGTTTGGGGGTGGGGGGGTGACAGGGGGGGGGGGGGGGTCGGGGGTTAATTAGAAAAGCAAAAAAAAAAATTGAACCGGCCCGGCCCGGACCCGGTGGAATCTCGGGCCGGTTTCGGACCCCCCCCAAAAGCCCGATTTGTATCAGCCCGAAGCCCGACCCGGAACCGGTCCATCCCTGACTATAATAGATCTCTTTCAAAAGATGAAACTCAAATAGAGCAGTTGTGATTTACCCTTTTAGTTTTTTTATATTGTACTATACTAAAACTTTATGTAGTTTGGAAATTCTCATGTACATTATTACAAATTTTTTATATTCAAATATACTTTCGTATGGACTTAAAAATATGGACTTAAAAGAGAGAAAATACTTTTAAGTACTGTACTTTTGTTGCTTTGCCCCCAATAGTTCCATTTCTTGGATCCATCGTTGCGCAAACTATCATTTGTTCACAGTTTTTATTTGTGACATAACTTCTTTAAAAACATTTGCTAACTTTTCAATTTTACTTCTTTAAACAGATAAGTTGTATCAATATTTAAAACGCTATAGACAATTTTAAGCGGGAGAGTGTAACCACAAAAATCTTTTGCTTTTATATTAGAATAGATAGATGGAGAACATGCCTGCGATGCCTTGTCACTATATTTTAAGAAAGTACTACCAGCACTTTGTATTTAAGGATAGTGCCCCCAATAATTATTAAGAAACCATTCAATTTTAATATGCAAATGTATCCCACATCTTACAAATTAGTGAAAGCTAAATGTTAAACATTTTATCCTTTGTATCTAACTTTAAGCAAATAAATAACTAAAAGTAAGTGATGGATTCGCCGACCCAAGGGTAGATAGAAACCAAGTGAGAGTCGAAAAGATGCGAAGTATAGATCGAGTAAGAAATTTGGTAGAGTAACAATAAGCTTGAGAGTAGAGAATGTGAACACTTTCCGCAAGTTGGAAGGTGATATTTATAGTGTAAAAGGAAATACTTGGGAAACAAGTAAAATAACTCATTCACTAATCTAATGACACGTGTAAAGCCAATTGGTGAGAGAATAATCAATACAACTCGCTGATTGATACTGTTGCACTAGAATTTGTCCTGTGTACTAGAATGCGTAGATAAGCCACGTGTACATTTGAAATCTTTCTTGTATAAGCGCTTAGGTGATGTCAACCCTAAGACAGTTTTCATGTGGTGACGTAAACCTGAATATTGTGGAATCCAAATGTTGAAATGTCTAAATCCATAATCTAGAGGTCGAGCTCGAACCAGTGTGTTATATAGAAGGTAAGTAAGCTTGGCTCCTAGTGCGAAGTACCAAAGTCTCTCTAGACTTCTTAAGCTCATACTACAAGTGGCATGGAGCTTGGCCATGGTGCTGGGAATGTTGCCATCCTCAGCGAGGGTCGACCTCGGATACAATTTTGGGCTTATCTCAACGGCTGCCATTTTTGGGCTTGAGGGTCGTTTTTTACATTTCAAGCATTGAGACTTCAGAGCACTTTAAAATAGGTGTAAATTCATTGAAAAGATGTAAAGGGGCTGGGAGGGAGAGGGGAGGGGTTTGAAAAATTCTATAAAAAAACGAAACCGAACTAGGATATAGACCGGGGGATCAGAAGTCCGTCCCTATTCTCATTAACTCCCTCCAAGGACTGGCTAGTCTGAGACTTGGACCGCACCGGGTTCACCCCTAATTGCTGTGTTTTAAAAACATATTTAGAAAATTAAAAAAAATCAGGATTTAGACCGAAATCGGAACTGGACCGTGCCAGTGAATTGGATCAGAACAAAAAATGTAAGTCCTGATCCCGGGTCTCATTAATTTTTTCATAGCCAGCCAGTCTTGGACCAGAGTCGGCCATGACTTGTCCATGCCTATGCATGACCTTATATTTGTGGCTTGAATGAGGTATCTTCCTTGGTCACTGACTCAGTGACCGAGTATTTTTGGAAAGGGAGAGGGCCACTAGAATAGAATGAGTCTAGAATGAAATGAAAGTAACCATGTTCTGCTACCCATTGAATAGCCTTCATTAAAACAGAAGAAGACTGGAATCCAGTTTATGAGACTAATGAGAGCAACCCCTTCTTCAAACATAGAAATGCCTCGACTGAGGATATATATGAGGATATTGTATAAACGTTTTCGTACTTACATCAGTTCCAGCCCACTTTAACCAGTCCTCCAAACAACATTAATCATATAATCAGTGGCTGAAGTTGGAATAACTCATTCCATCGTGGGCTGAAATGGTCTTCCAAACACAGCTAAAAACACAATTATATAAAAATGATAATACATCATGTGCATTCACTTTGGGAATATAAAGGCTCATATATATTAGGTACACTGCACAAAATAAAGGTGGACTGCATTAAATGCTCATTAATTTTCATAGATCTGAACTCTCATTGCATCAATTTGAAGGTATACTATTCATTCTTATTTTTTATGAGAAGAACATTACGTATAAAATACAAAGTATGATTATGATGTGACTGAACTGCACATAAAGGAAAGATTCCATGAAGTTACATGTTATCATGTGCAGATGCAAGACGTCAAGACCCATCTGTAGCTGTTGCCTTCGACTGTGCCATAACTTGTTCGGACTGGGATTCAAGAGGCAACATGTTAGTCTAATAGTCTCTGAATAACAAATAAACAAATAAACATAACATATTGATGCACATTTCCATATTTAAAAGTGGTTCCTTGTACATGACTTGTACATGAACTAAAAGTGTCACTAACAAATAAACACATTTCCATATTTAAAAGTGGTTCCTTGTGCCCCATAAAGGATTTGAAAGCTTCTCTGATCGAAAAAAGGCCATGTCACAACATAACAAGTTACACTACATTTTTTTGCAATTTGCTGATGAGTCACAAACAAGTTTAAAATGGTAATATTGAGTTAACCAACATGATAAAAAGTTAAATAAGGATAATAATGACATAAGAGTTGAACTTACCAAAACAAAAAAGTTTACCTTGACTAAATGCGACTTTTTTGGGAATTAGAGTATTAGATTTATATGATAGATAGTATATTGATATATATCTTGTTTGGCCCAACTTAATATCTATCATACACGATATATTAAGAGGAAGGCTAGATAAGGCATCAAGAACCTTCCTTTTAAAAAAAGGTTAAAAAATCTGAGGTGCTCTAAGGGAAAGAACAAGCAAGGCCCTTAATCAATAAGCTCTCATGAGGCCAGACAAGCAAAGACTTCTGAAAACATAGGAAACTTGAGATAGAGACGTATTCTTAGTTGGGACCAGAGAATTTTCAATATACAAATATATTCAACACAACAAACACATGCTGATCCAGACTTATGTTCAAGTTGTATTATGAAGATTCACGCAGATATATCGCTGCCTCACCTGATCTAGCTGCTCCTGTTCTTGATGTTGCTGAGCCTGGGGATATCCTCCTTGTTCTTGCTGCACGGCATGTAATGCTTGTTGATCCTGTTGGTATAGCTTCAAGAGTTGCTGATATCCTTGTGGATTCATTTGGTATTGGTAGGCAAGTGCTGAATACTGATTATAGGCCTGCAGTTGCTGATCTTGTACTTGCCCGTACGGCTGCACTGGTTGCACCATCTGCTGATATTGCTGTTGAAAATGTTGTGGCATTTGTTGTAAATATGGCATCAGTTGATGCTGATAGGTTTGGTGTGTATATTGTTGTTGCAGTTGGAGATGGGGGTAGGACTGCTGCATTTGCAGAAACTGTTGATATTGTTGCTGATAATGATATTGCCACATCTGATTAAACGCTTGATCCTGGTTTGTGGGACCCCCAACCTGCTCCCAAGTTTGTGTCATGCATCCTGCCAAATTTCCTTGGGTCCAAGAAACAGACGAAGGAAACATTTGTGATACAACAGGACCGCCTTGACCATTATGAAATTCTGCTGATATGCTACTGCCAGTTGCAGGAGTTTCTTTGTTATTGCCATTATCAGATGCCACAAGAACTTGAGCTTTATTTACTTTACGCTGAGAATCTGAGGAATGTTCTTCCAAAGAAACTGATTCCATAATGCATTGAAGCTCAATTTCCTTTGGACATGAACCATTAATTGACATATCTTCTTCTCGAGATGTTTCTGTTGGCAAATTTGGTCCTAATAGTGGTTCAAACTCACATATCGGCTCAAGTGGTTTAGATGCATCTTCTTTGGATTGACATGTGGAGTTAGCCGCATAGTCCATTAGATCCAAATCATTAATTAATTTTAATCTTTTCAATGCATCGGTTTTAGATTCATCTTCAAACTCAACAGAGACCTTAGAAGATGGTTGCACATCATCATTCAGAGTTGAAATTCGCTCAGCAGGGACACTGCTAGGCTGTCTATCATCTACCAATGGAGGCAAATTTAACATCTCCTGTACCTGTGGCAGGATTACATGACCAGAACTTTGATTTTCAGATTGCAGATTGAGCAGGATACAGTCATTGCTTTGTCGTTCTTTTAATGTGGAGCGCTTATATAATGGATTGACCCTTATGAACTGGGGAAACAATTTGATGTGAAGATTCCATGCCTTCCTTACATCGTGCACCGTTCCACAAAGATCAACAAACTGCAATAATTGATAATTAACTATCTAGGAACTAAAATGTTATGTGACAGAAAAAACAAAAGAGGTCTTGTGTTTAGCTTGATTTTATTTTATTTTCTGGGTGGTGGGCTTTTAGACCCTGTTGAACCCATGGTACTCAGTCCCTCATAATGCAAGCTTCGTAATTGTAGAGTGGTTACCCCTCAAGGTCCCTTAATGACAAAGATCACTACTTCACGATCAGTTTGTGGACAAAAGTTGAAGCTTGCGATTTTTGAGGGACTGCGTCTGTAACATGAGTTAACCCAACGCAAGTGTTGTTTTCCCTTGTAACATATAGAAAGAGATGTTTTCAGCAGACTGCAACTATATTCAAACCTTATTTTTCACAGACGAGCTTTTGGGAAGGTAAGTCAAGCATACATTGCAGGGGGGGGGGGGTCATAATATGCTTTAGCTAGACCAAGGACATAATAATACTCCCTCCATGTTCTATTGTTTGCCAAAAATAGGGTTGTCACAAAATTTAAGGGAAAATATTAGGAGAAGTGAATAGTCTAGAAAAAGGAGAGGTGATGAAAAAGTAAGGGTAATTGAATACTTTAAAAGGAAAAACTTACCAAAAGGGAAAGTGCAGCAAACAAAAAAATACTTCTCATAAAGGATAGTGTAGCAAATAAAAGAATATGGACATAGTATCAGTTATCAATTTCTCAATTTGATTTTGTTGAGATTAAGAAACTGATAACTGAAAGTATACAAATTGAGAAAAATATCCACTGAATCTTTTGAAAAATAGGAGTGCAACACTCCTTAAATAGACACATATCAAGCCTACACGTAATGAAGAAAATGTTTGTAGGGGGGGGAGGGATCTCATGGCCTGGGCCTTCTAATGAATAGTCCTCCAGCAAATGATAAACAGCGCATTGTGATACTCCAGGAATAAATAAAATTTTCTCATGACTTCTTCAGAACAACATTTAAGAATAAAAGAATCAAAAGATATTCATGAAGTCACCACATACACACACTTGGGTGCATAAAAAGACAAAATTACGCACTTTTAAAGTAAACTCAAACCAACAAAAATAAAGTTGATATATATTGCACTTTTAAAGTAACCTCTAACCTCCAAAAATAAAGTTGATATATACTCTCTATCTTTTATATCTAATCCTTCTAATTCATCTGATGAAGAAGAGATTGCTGTGGTTATAACTGTCTCTATAAACCTCAGTTGTTTAGCTCCATCATGCACCATTGCAAACCTGATCAGTTCCTTCACAAGTAAAATCCAAATCATATTCCAGGCGAGGCAGTTCCGTAATAGGAGGTTTTGAAATGGTTTTTATTTTGATGCTTTGTTAGGTTGAGAAAAGAAGCGAGGACAGAAAGGTGTGGGTGTGTGCATGAGAGAAAGAGAGTAGAGAGAATGATGAGAGAGAGGCTAGATTTTTTAGATTGTTTGGTAATAAAGAAATAAAACATAGTTTTTAAAGAAATAAAACTTAGTTTCTCTCATCTTTCTTCCTAAATCAGGAGTGTGTACATTGGTGTCACCGCAAGAAGACGGTGCAAGGAAGGGTCCCACCACAAGGTGTATATTGAGCAATCCATCCCTTGTTATTTCGACAAGAGCTCGCTCCCAAGAATTTAACGTCTCACCTCTAGGTCACACAGTAATGCCATAACCGGTGGGCCAAGACTCCTCCTCAATGAACAAATCATGAATAAGGATGTTTTTAATTGGACTGATTTCAGTCCCAGTTCAGACTTGAACAATAGTAATAAAATGCACATAAAACAAATTGAGAGTTGCGGCTAACACATCAAGGTTGAGGGTAGAAAGAAAGGATCTTGGGTAGAAAGAAAGGATCTCCCTTGTTCGCTTATGCCTCCAACCGCTTTGAGGGTTGAGGCTAAAACCTCACCTCAAAAATGCAAAACGTCTCAAGGCTTAAAAGCGCCTTTTTAAACATTGCTATGGCCACAGCGTGAATCCATTTAGTTCAAGGCATAAATTCAAATGTTGAAGTACGAGTCCAGCCCGAAACTCTGAGAGGGGAGGCCGATTCAAATAGAATACTAGAGTTGTAGTTCTAGGCTTCTAGCAGTCTGGTACTTGTTTTCCTGAACAGCTCATTAGACTATAATGTTGAAAGCACACACCTCATAAAGAAGTCTGCAATCTGGTACTTGTTTTATTCCCTTTATTAATACATCTCTAGAAGCATATGTACCGCCTGTCATCTAGAGGTAAATAGAACATAGTCAAAGAACCATAGTTACATAGATCATTAAAACAGCCACGATCCGTGTACCGGTCGTTCTGTACCCAATCACGGTACGAAAGCGATCCAGTCACTACCGCGAACGCTATGCGGTACGCTTGGCTAATCGATCCCAAACGTTGTTTGAATCGATCTCAATTGCTAGGAAGAAACGATCTCAATCGTTTTTAAAGTCGATCGTTGATGAATTGCATGCAGTTCCCCAAGCGTTTTCCCAGCAAACCAGTTTGGCACTCTGAATCGTCGTTTCCTATCACGCGCAGATTTCAAAAGATTTACAGGTATGCAGGCGCTCCGATAGTTTTTTTTTTTAATCTGTGCGTGTGATAGGAAACGACGATTCGGATTGCAAACTGGTTCGCTGGGAAAACGCTTGGGGAACGACCTGCAACTCGTCTACAATCGACTGTAAAAACGATTGAGATTGTTCCTTCCTAGCGTACCGCATAGCATTCCCGGTAGCGACTGGATCGCTTTTGTACCGCGATTGGGTATGGAACGACCGGTACGCAGATCGTGGTTATTTTCACGATCTATGTAACTATGGTATAAACAATATGACAATTGGCTGGAAATTCAATGCTGCAAAATTAGGGTACACTTAATTGCCTACCACACATTTAAGATGATAATAATGGATGCATAGCTTTGGAAGAAAAAACTTTCTCTCCTTATCTGAAGTTGCCCATCTTAGTGCTTTCTCATAAATCTCACAAGCGGCTTCTTGGTTTCCCTGACAATTAAGTAATCCAAGTGTCCGTAATTCATTATTGAGAATGTCTCTCCAGTTGAGGGAAATTTAAAGAGCTTGACATGTACCAGTCGCCATTCCATATTTGCTTGTTTTACAACACTTTCAATGATATAGATATCACAACGTGGGTCATAATTAGAAAAGAAGGCACGAGCACCATCTATATCTTGTATTTGTTCCATGAATCTTGCAGAAAATAGATGGAACCCGGGAATGTTCTGTTAAATGTAAATACACATTAAAATATGTAATTATTTAGTTAATTTCAATGGACAAGCCTGCCGGGCTAATTCCTGTCCTAATGACAAGCGGTCCCTTACTAAACATACCAACATTCAATCATTTCACACTTAAAATATTCTGTTTAAATTATTTCCTTGCATTTGATAGATGAATAACATTTTGGTTCAGCTAGGATGAGTATACACTTATAATAATTCATAAAAGGATAAAAAGAGTAAAGAGCAATCAAGCAACCATATGATGTATAATACATTAAGTTAGTGAGAATAATATGCCACCGAAGTGATTATTAATATACTCCCTCCGTCCCAAAAACAACTTCACAGTTTGACAATCACACAGATTAAGAAAATAAATTTGACTTTACTGTTGGGTGCACTGTTTTGATGTAGATAATTTGTCAAATAAGGAAAGTATTGAAGTGTGAAGTTAATTTTGGGACATCCATTTAAGGAAAGTGGGAAGTTGTTTTTGGGACGGAGGGAGTAATACTTAAGAAATACCTACAAACCAAATAATAGAACCTTACATTAAGATATACTTTTGTTGCGCGCTCTATAGCAAACATTGCCAACTCTCGTCCTCCTTGAGCCTCCATGAAATCCACATAGCGCATCCAGAATTCAGGGTAGTTAGCACATGATATCAAGCATCTTTCGTAAAGTTTCAGTGCCTGCACACATCACATGTGGAACTCTAAACTATGAAGTATGAACAAACATTAGTCCAAATAAACGGATGTAAAAACTAAAGCCTACCCAATCAAAATCCTTTTGCTCTTCAATAAAGTCAAGATACTGATGCCAATTGTTTAGTTGATCATTATCCAAAGGAGTTGTATCAAAATAATGCCTCCGAATGTTCGACTCAAAGTTTTTTATTTTTTCATCAAGCTGGCATGCTTTCTCATACAGCTGATCTCCAATAACTTTGTACCTATGTAATGCTTTACACCTCACAGATATATCAGAAGGATCCCAGAGGTCATTGACAACCTGAGAGATCTCTTTGTCAGATAGTGCAGATGCATCTTTATAAGGGTCAGCTTGCACTTCAAGGTTTCCATTGTTGAGAGATTGAATCTCATCCTCCAAAGCGGTTACAAGGTCCTTAAAGCTAGAAAATGCATAGCAAAATATTTTAATGAGTCGTAGCAAAACAACGATGACTACACAGACTTGTGCACAGAAAATTAAATGCGTAGAAATCAATATCTGACAATCGTACATAAACCGAGGGGCTGTATTCAGCTACAACACCATCATGAAACACTAAAAGCAATCGTATGGCTATCCTATACAAGGTTAGTGTAAAATTGTAAATTACTTCTTGTACAGCAGAAAGTTACTAAAAACTAGCGTGATAAACTTTTATAATTTAATCCTTGCATTTCATTTTAGACACACCCACAGATTTTTTTTTAGTCTCATGCCCATTAAGGCTTTAAATGTAACACACTCAAACATACAATATTCATAAATGGGTATAGACAGCAGCATCAGATGATAGAACATAGAAGTAAAAGAAGGCATACATTTTGTAATATTTGTGTAGTTTCTGGGTAGGGAAATGTAGAGCCTGAGCATAAACATTGGCAAGATGGGCCCACTTCTGCTGGGAGAATTCAAACAATATGTATTTGTCCCATAGCACATGACAATAATAATCCTTCCCTACAATAGTCATGCCTTTTTGAAACAGTCTGTATAGCACATAAAAGATATGGAGATGTGTATCATCAAATGATTATAAAAAATTGGGAAAAGGGTCAAATAGGCCCTCGAACTTACATAAAAAGGTCAAATAAGCCCTTATATAGGAGGCTCTGTCCGGCCGTCGCCATTTGGGGCAGTTCCCGGTGGAATTTTTTGATGAATTTTTTTGAGCATCTTATTCATTAAGTCTAGTTTACTCATACCAAATTTCAGCTAACAATTCAATCGGGAAGGCATTCAAATGAATTCTTGAAGATAACTGCGCAGTTATCTTCAAGAATTCATTCGCAGTTATCTTCAAGAATTCATTTGAATGCCTTCCCGATTGAATTGTTAGCTGAAATTTGGTATGAGTAAACTAGACTTAATGAATAAGATGCTCAAAAAAATTCATCAAAAAATTCAAGCGGGAACTGCCCCAAATGGCGACGGCCGGACAAAGCCTCCTATATAAGGGTTTATTTGACCTTTTTATGTAAGTTTGAGGGCCTGTCTGACCCTTTTCCCTAAAAAACTATGTAAATAAGTATGAAATACAAACATTGGCATGCATGGCGGTGTGGGTATTTTAACATTGTGACGTTTTTGGATAACTATCTAAATCATCTACATTGTTTTTAACAATATGATGCTTTTGGTGACATTGATATGATTCTAAGATTATGGCATTATTATGACATTGATATGATTTCAAGTTTGCCAAAAAGTTTACTTTCAAATGTGACGTATTTTAGTAATGTTATGTTTTTTTTACAAGATTAACTGTTTTTAACATTGTGACATTTCAATAACATTGACATTATTTGTAGCATTGTGACAATTTTGTGGCAATGACATTATTTTAACATTGTCACACTCTTCATATAATGTGGCATTGTTTGTACTAAACAAATTGAGAAGAGGTAAATATTTATATTCAAAATATATTTATTTAAAATTTGCGGAATGGGCCTGCTTGAAGAATCAAGTTATATATTACTTCCTTTTATTAGCTCTCCTTATTACTTTCAGTTCTTAATTATGATGAGTTGTAATAGTAGAATCTTTCCTATTATGAATAAACTCGTCATTCCCTATATACATCTTTTTTGTTGGAATAATAATTTACCTTTGGAGTATTACTTCTTATTTTGTGTTCACTGTATCCAGCAACAACCTTCTTTTCTTAGGGTGGGAGATTTAATTTTTTACTCTAGAAACCATAGTTCTAATTCTTCACTTCCTCCGAGTTCTCAATGGCATTGGACCCGATTCGTATTGTAGCCATTAACAAATAATTTCATAACAATAATATAAATGACAATCTGATAGGGACCCACCTATTGACTAATAAATAGACTAGTAACTATTAGTTAAAATTTTGTAATAGATATTAAATAAAGTAGGAGCTGGACTACTATAAATAGAAGGAAGACTGGGAGGGGGAAGTAGGCTGTTTTTAGACTTGGACTTTGGGACTTGGGAAGATCGAGAGTTTTCTCTTTCTTTGGGGGGCTTCGGCTCAATTGGGGGCTTCGGCCAGAATTTCTCTCTTCTATTTCTGTAATTGTTCTTCTTCATCAATAAAGGTTCATCTGTTTCTTGTTGATCTTGCTGTAATTGTTATGGAATATTTGGAGGTATCTATCATTGGTATCAGAGCCATACTTCCTGGAGACCGAGAATCTGAATCATGGAAAAAATTTGTACACCAGAAATGGAGAAGAGGATGGAGTCGCTGGAGAGGGAGCAGGCATCGATGATGAAGAAATTAACAGATATGAGAAAGATGGCGGAACAGATGACCAGACAGCTAGATGCGATGAACGAAATTCAGGCGAGAAGGCGTTCGAAGAGCAGATCGCACACTTCCCATCGTTCTTCGCAGAGTTCTTCACAGCGTTCTTAGCAGAATTCTTTACATCGCTCTTCGCAGGTATCTGACAAAGTAAATTCGTCGCCATCGCTTACCAGTTCACAGACTGAATCGCGATCTGTTTCTTATAGTTCGCAATCGCGAACTTTTTCTCTCCTTTTGCAGACTGACTCAGCGGCTATTATGTCATGTCCAAGAAAATCACCAGTCGATTTTCACTATTTCCCTTCTTCTCAGATCGTCTCTCTGTGTTCGCCAGATTTATCGCAAGAAGGTTATCCCTGTGCAAGAGATTCTCCCGTCCATAAAGAAGACTGAGAGGGAGCCAACTGAATCTGGAATCAAGAAAATGAATAAGGAGGATGAAATCGAGGAGCAAACTACAATTGTAGGTGTCCTAAAGTCGGAAACGGTTCTTCAGGTTAAGCAATCACCAGATTATGCGTCTCCTAGTCTTGTAATTGATATGGATTTCTATTGCTGACCTGCTTATCCACCCATGTTCCTTTGGAAGTAGAGTCATAACTGATTATGAAACTGGATTACTTAAAATGAAGAAAGTTGCAGAAGATAAAGCTGTTCTTGTCAAAAGTCTATCAATCGAAATGTTTCCAGTAAATTCAGACATTGATAAAAGGAGGATGGAACCAGAAGCTCAGGAGTACCATGCTTATCCTTTCTATGGGGAATATGCTATCATCTTAGGAAACAACAAAACAATCCATGATATTGGTTCTTTACCTGCTGGGGTATCCAAATTAGGGCAAGGTAAATGGATAAAGTCTTCCGGCTATGATACAATATGGGATCCCTTAATTGAGGAGTCATTTATACAAGTGGCAGAAGTACAAGTAGCAGAATTGCAGCTAATTGTTGAGTGCAAGATAAGCTGCCACAAGCTTGGTCTATATATTTCATTTAAAGCACCAGAAAAACATCTAAGGTTGGGAGACATCTGTGCAAAGACAGCTCATAGCCTCTCAGTTCATGAGATTACTGATTTTTTCTCAAGGTTATTACAGAAGATGGCTCCTAAGAGTTACCAGCAAACTCTAGGCGAAGTTGTTGTTACACAAAAATTTTCAGAAAATTTCTATGGTGAACGGGTCTGCTTCCTGGCAGGGTCGTTTGGAGTGCCAGAAATTCCAGTGGTTTGTTTAATTGTTCTAGATGGGGGTGTAGAGTGGGGCTATTGGTTTCAGATGACTACTGCGGGTAAAGAGATCAGGGCTAAAGACGAGGGTGGTTGTAAGCCATGCTGCCCAAAAGGCAAAGAAGATATTGCAGAGTTTCCTTCTGGCAGTTGTATATCCATAGTAGGAACAACAACAGACGCTCTAATTGCATGGAGTGAAGTGACTGAAACTCAAGGACTTGAGTTATATCCTGAAGCCAGAGCTATTAAGTATTAACAAATGGAAGAGTGAGCAATGGATGATAGGTGAAGATCAGCACCAGCTTGAACAAAGACACAGGACTAGTATTGAAGCTTGGAAGGAAGAGGAGCTATTGTTGTTATTGCTAGAAGCAGTGAGAAGGAAGATTCAAGTCATGAAGTTCAGGATCCTGAAATTTGAAAGATATTGGGAAGGGAGAGGAACAAGGAAGAGGAAGAGGAAGCAGAAGATTTTGGCTTTCTCCTATTACCCACCTTGAGGACAAGGTGGATGTTTTGGGAGGAAGTATTGATAGGGACCCACCTATTGACTAATAAATAGACTAGTAACTATTAGTTAAAATTTTGTAATAGATATTAAATAAAGTAGGAGCTGAACTATAAATAGAAGGAAGACTGGGAGGGGGAAGTAGGTTGTTTTTAGACTTGGACTTTGGGACTTGGGAAGATCGAGAGTTTTCTCTTTCTTTGGGGGGCTTCGGCTCAATTGGGGGCTTTGGCAAGAATTTCTCTCTTCTATTTCTGTAATTGTTCTTCTTCATCAATAAAGGTTCATCTGTTTCTTGTTGATCTTGCTGTAATTGTTTTGGAATATTTGGAGGTATCAATCACAATCTTAATAATTACAACTATATAGTCTTATTAAAAATTAATATTATTAATGAATACATGCATAATAGTAATAATAATATAATAATAATGATACTGTTGTTATTGTTGTAGGAATTATTCGGATTCAAAACTCAAAATTCCACCAGTCACAAAATTACTTGTTGACACATGCACTTGTGCATCCTTGCATATCTCTACCTTCTTTTTGTGAACCAATGATGTGTAAGGACCTAAGATCTGCTAAAGCTGCTCACCAAGACTCATTGTCTCATGGGCGGGATGCATAGGGATACTTTCCATTTACTATGGGAGTATGGGACTGATTTACGAACTTCTACTAGTATTCAGTTAACACATTTTCAATATGCACGAATTGCAATATCATAAACGCGGCAGGTCATTACAATTTGAGGAAAAATTTACTCCATACAATTACTGCATGGAAAATGTCCAAGAACTTACCTGCGAACATCATCTCCATTATCAGAATAAGTTATGGCAAAGTTGCAATATTCATACCACAATCCAACAGAGAATGGCGTTAGCTCAACTGCCTTCTCAAAGATTTCAACAGCCTTATTACCATTGCATAGCCGTGCATGGTGATAAGCATATCGTTGCCAATACCAGTGACACAATGGGAACTTCAATAAAAGGGAGTCATATGCTGAAGAAATTATATCTATGTCATCCTGTAATAAGTTCAAGAGCAGATCTCACTTGCCAATCAATGAAAAAAACAATAAAAGTAGATTTCACTTATGGCTTTCATGAATCCATGAAAAAAAATCATCATATACCTAGTGTTGGCCCTCCTTTACCACAAATACACACACTCATACCAAACACACACACACACACACACCGTTCTCCCTCCATCTCTCTTTCTCTACCATCGCCAATCTCATAATGACTTACCTCTTGTAGTTTTGATCATTGTCAATCACAAACAGCAGAACAAGCATAGCATGTCCCTTTAATTGTGCTAAACTCTTAGCAAGTGGGCAAGTGAGTGTGTGTCCAGGGACCACCTTAGTTCTCACTACGAGGTTATACATGCAAGCGCCCTAGCAGCCTTCTATGCTGGCAACAGAATTAAACGAAACATACAACATCACAAGTTATACGATTATAATGCACTCAAATCCCTTTGACAAATGCCCTAAGTGATACATTAATGCCACTTTACCCATCACAATATTTTATAAGGTTACTTACTAACCACAACGAGGGGGGGGGGATTTACTGCTCATAGATTGTAATTGGAAGTTATAACGAGTTTAATCCACCAGACTACAATGTTCTATGGCATTCTCTATGAAAACGTGCAAGAGGATGACCCGTTTAAAAGAAAACTGGCAGCTATTTAAAAGAGGAGGGTCTGCATCCCTATGTGGCGTAAAGCATATCATGCAGCCCATGATAACATTGTACGCTGTAAAAAACGTAAGTGCACACGGCTGCCCACAAGCTGTGTGGTCTTCCATGCATAAGGCTGTTTCTTGTTGATGGGCATGCCTGTACACATGTCTTGTGGCGCCATGTGGTATGATGAAGACATCTTGACTGATTGGAACCCACACGGGTGTATGGATGACCATATCCCCCATTATACCACTCCCTGATCTCATCTTCAGCTTAAGTAAATCTCCTTGAACACTCAAAGGACTGTAAATGGGTTCTCGTTCTTGTAATATTGGATAACACCACCAAAATACAAGAAACCCAATAAAACTGGACCAAAATCAAATTTGGTACAATAGTAATCAAAAGATACTCAAAAGATAGCAGGCGCTGTCGAACACACCTAAAAGTTTGTTGAAATGAACTTACTGTCAGTGTACTGTTTGGTGCTGTATAACAATAAACAAAGAGTAACGGCCTGTTTGGATGGAGTGTTGGTAAGTGTTAGTAATGGAAGTGTTAGTAAGTGTTGTGAGGGGTCCGGAAAGGAAGATAAGTTTAAGTGTTAAATAAAACCTTACCTTGTTTGGTAGAGTTAAAAAAATGAAGTGTTAATAATGAAAGTGTTTTCACTTAAATTGACAAAATTATCCTCGCCCTTGAAATAAGTAATATTAATTACTGCACGTTTTTTTAAATGATAAATATTGATCCGTCCAAATTCTTTCAGATACGGAGTATATGTATTGCTATATGTATCAAAAACGATTATTTTTTTTGAAGGAAACGATTGGGTTGTTATAAATTAAAAATGATTAAAAAAAAGGTATGAAGATTGGATGTAGCAGCATCTTGCTCCGGCGAAAAGACTGGGCTAAAAGTATGAAGATTGGATGTACAGTAGATATATATATTATCTATATATGTATATCTTTTTGTATCGGAAAATGTCTTTAGATTTGTACAATTGTTTATATACATGGTCCGCTGGGAAGTACAATTGGGGAAGAAGAAACGAATGAGAGAAGAGTCCGCCGGAGAAAGAAGGAGAACAAGCCCCAAAAGAGATAACGTTGGGGAGTTAAAAAGGGCAAAAGTTGTCCAACACTTCATTACACTCCAAATTGGAGTGTTAAAAAAGTGATAAATATAAGTGTTAGAAAGGTTATGGTTAACACCCTCAAACACTTACTAACACCCTTAATTTTTTTATTTTCTCTCCCAAACAGGTGTTGAACCGAACACTCTTTAACACTTCCATTACCAACACCCTCTAACACTCAATCCAAACAAGCCCTAAATATACCAAAGCGTTTTAATTTCAATGGATGCTCTTAACTGGTAAACCGTAAACTGGTAATCATACAAAGACTTCCACTGCTGCAATGTCCAAAACAAGTGAAAAAAGATGTTATGTTCTAAAATATTTTAGATTTCTATGATGAAATATGAAATGTATTAGAATTTCATGACAACTAGGCTTATGTAATTTTGTTATAAGTTGTGTGAAAAGCCGAACGTCCAATAAGACAAGTTTTTTTTAACCAGGGGCTCACCCCTTCACAGCCGCGGCATAGCCTACCATAACACAGCAGCTGTGGAGCCCGCCACCTATAGTCCAGCGGCGAACCCTGGTATTGACGCAGTCACCCTGTCAGAACAAGCCAGAAGTAAATCGTCCCATGGAACTACAGGTTTACAGGATAACAGTTTGTGGTGGTTGAAATTAATGGCAGCAGCAAGCTTAAATCTTTCAGTGAGTCTCTACGCAGCGCACGTGGGGCTTCAAACCTAGGTGGCAAAATGTTAAGGGCACGGGTTAGCGACCATGTCCAAGGTTTGGAACGGGAACCCTGGTGGAATGAGAAGAGAGAGAAACAAACAATTCTGGATTTATGTTTAATTAAATCTGAAGAGTGGCTGGAAATAAAGGAACTTAACGGAATTAATTTTGGTTTCCGACCTAATCAAGAAATCCCAGAATGAATTCTTTGAAAAGCTGTTTTATTAAATTAATGGAGAAACCTTTAGATAGATATTAAGGGTTTCCTAAAGTAAATTGCTATTCTAATGGAACTATAATAAAGGAAGACTAGTCCAAATAGGATTAACTATAATGAAGGAAGACTTGCTTCGGCCTTTTTTCCTTAGCCACTTTGTTTCCTAACTTCATCTGTCCCCCTTCGATCTCTTATTTTATATGTACAACCATAAAACTGGTCCGTAACATCACCACCACCACCACCACCACCCTCCCCCCCCCCCGGATTTCCTGATGGATATTGTTCAGAATCGGGGAAGCAGCTTCTTCAGACCGGATTTCACTAAGGAGAGTATTGAAAGGAGCTGTGAGTGCTGCTATTTCAATAACATATTCATGTTGTCGAGACAAGGCATCCGCAACAGTGTTGAAGTGTCCCGGTTTGTATTCTACCCGGAAAGTAAAGCCCGTTAATTTGCTGTGGGGACGTAGTGAGCCGTTGATCCACTAAATGTTTTAAGCTGGAATGATCAGTCCGAATAAGGAATTCAGATCCCATAAATAGGGTCGCCAATGAGTGACTGCTTTTGCTAATCCTATCGATTCGTGTTCATAAGCTGCAAGCTTAACATGGCGGGCAGCAACCTTGCGACTAAAATATGCAATGGGATGGCCTTCCTGTTATAATACTGCCCCAAAACTAGATCCCGATGCATCACATTCGACTACAAATTTCTTGTCATAATAAGGTAATTGGAGAACCGGGGCAGAGGAAAGGCGCAGTTTGAGGTCGTTGAACGCCTGTTCAGCTGCGTTGGTCCAGGAAAAGGCACTCTTCTTCAATAATTGTGTGAGTGGTTCGGCAATCTCACCATAATGGTGAATAAATTTTCGGTAATAACCGGCTAGCCCCAAAAGACCACGTAAAGCTGTTACCGATCGTGGTGTGGGCCACGCAGTGATGACCTGGATTTTGGCTGGATCAGCCACAACGCCTTTGATATGGATAATATGGCCGAGATATTGTACCTACGGTGCGCCAAAACTGCATTTGGATTTTTTTTAAAGAAAGGTCATGGGAGCTCAAGATTTCCAAGACAAGTTGGCCACGATAAACGTGTTCTGCCCAAGACTTACTATAATTGAGTATGCCATCAAAGAAGACGAGGACAAACTTGCGAAGGTATGGTGCAAAGATGTCGTTCATTAAGCTTTGAAACGTGGATGGTGCATTGGTGAGTCCAAATGGAATGACTAAGAATTCAAAGTGGCCATGATGAGTCCGAAAAGCTGTCTTTTCGATATCCTCTTCTGCCATGCGGATCTGATGGTATCCCGAGCGCAGGTCAAGTTTTGTGAAGAATTCGAACCCATGAAGTTCATCTAACAACTCATTGATGACAGAAATCAGAAACTTGTTCTTAACGGTTCTAAAATTGAGTTTTCTGTAGTCAACACAAAACCTCCATGTGATCTCAGCTTTTTAAACTAGAAGGACGGGTGATGAAAAGGGAGATCTGATCGGGCGGATGATACCTTGCTAGAGCATTTCAGAAAATTGCCGCTCAATCTCGTCTTTTTGGAAATAGGGATAATGGTAAGGACGAACGACCACTAGGCTAGTTACGTGAAACAACGTTATCTGGTGATCACAAGCTCGGGTAAGTGGCAGTCCGGATGGTAATCGAAATTGTTGGAGATTATCACACTGAACACACACACTCTGCAGTAATTAAAGACACAAAGATTTAAGGTGGTTCAGTCGTAATGACCTACATCCACACTGTTGCAACTAGAAGATGTATTATTTCTGTTTTGCTTCTTTATTTACAGGTACATCAAGAGGATATTTATAGAGTGGGAATAGGGTTACAATCTGGGCTTTAAATATGGGCTTAACCCTAATAGGCCGGCTGCCCCCTTAAGCCTCCATACATTACAATCTCCCACTTGGAGGCTTTGGTAAACTCCAAACTTTCTCCGTCTCTTCACTTGACACTTCTTGTACCTCTGTAAATTCTTTTCTTCTAGCTGCAGCGCCTTCTCATCATTATTCCTGAAGGCCAGTTGAAGCTATGCATAGCTTCAACTTCTCTAAGGTTACCACCTTAGTTAGCATGTCTGCGGGATTCTCTGTTCCTTTAATCTTTTCAAGCTTCAATGTTCCATCACTGATAAGACTTCTGATGAAGTGATATCTAAGCTGAATGTGTTTCGTTTTTCCAAGAAACACGGGATTCTTCCCCAGATGAATTGCACTTTGATTATCACAAAACAATGGACTGCCGGGCTGTTTCTTTCCAAATTCTTCCATAAAATTTTTCAACCAAATCAATTCTTTACTGGCTTCAGCACAAGCCATGTATTCAGCTTCAGTTGTTGAAAGAGCAACGCTCTTTTGCAATCTGGACATCCAACTAACAACGGTTCCTCCTACTGAAAAAACAAACCCGGTTGTGCTTTTATACGTTTCCTTGCATCCCCCAAGGTCAGCATCCGTATAACCCCTAAGAACAATGTCTTTGCCTGAGAACCGTAACCCCATCTTCGAAGTGCCTTTCAAATATCTTAGCAGCCATTTGACTGCCTCCCAATGTTCTTTCCCCGGATTGGACATAAATCGACTAACCACCCCCACTGCTTGTGTTATATCTGGCCTTGTGCACACCATTGCATGCATAAGACTACCTACCGCTGAAGCATAGGGAACCTTGGCCATTTCGGCAATTTCTTCATCCGTCTTTGGTGAATGGTCTTTTGAAAGCTTAAAGTGACTTCCTAATGGATTGTTTCTGGTCTTGGCATCTTCCATTTTGAATTTCTCTAATACTCTTCTGATGTACTTTTCTTGAGAGAGTGTTAGAGATTCGTCTTTGTTCCTTGAGATACTCATTCCGAGTATCTGTTTTGCAGCACCGAGATCTTTCATTTCAAATTCTTCTGACATTTGCTTCTTCAGTTTCTTTATCTCTTTCATGTCAAAACCAGTGATTAACATATCATCCACATATAGGAGGAGAATGATATAGGACTGCTTGAACTTCTTGATGTAGGAGCAGTGATCCATTTCACATCTCTTGTATCCGGATCTACCCATGAAATTGTCAAATTTCAGGTATCACTGTCTCGAAGCTTGTTTTAACCCATACAAACTCTTCTTCAACCTGCAGACCATGCTTTCTATTCCCGGAACAGACCATGCTTTCTATTCCCGGAACCTGAAAACCTTCAGGTTGTACCATGTAGATATCTTCATTCAAATCTCCATGTAGAAAGGCTGTCTTTACATCTAGCTGCTCTAGATGAAGATTCTGTGCCGCAACAATACTCAGGACCAGTCTTATAGTTGTCATCTTCACAACCGGAGAGAAGATTTCATTATAATCAACTCCCGGTTTCTGTCTAAAACCCTTGACCACTAGTCGGGCTTTGTACCGTTTGGTACCATCGTGTTCCTCTTTGACCCTGTAAATCCATTTGTTTTGCAATGCCTTCTTGCCGGGGGGAAGGTTTGTCTCCTCCCATGTTCTGTTCTTTTTCAATGACTTCATCTCATCCTTCATTGCAATCTCCCACTGCAATGAATCTTTCATTCTAACTGCCTCTGTATAACTTTGAGGCTCTCCATTCTCTGTTAACAACAGAAAATTAGCAGATGGAGAATACTTCTCTGGTGGTACCGATACTCTAGTAGATCTCCTGAACCACTGAGTCTGAAGGGGCGGTGAGGCATGAGTTGTAGTTTCTTCTTCGTCTTCAGAAGTACTGTCTTCAGAAGTACTGGTTGGATCCTCTTGAGAACCACTTGTTGAGCCATTTTGAGGTTCAACTTCTGAGCTCCCACTGTCTGAGACACCTGCTGGAGCTTTAGTTTTCACTGTATCTTCAACCTCTGTATATTCTTTCTGAACTTCTGGTATGGTTCTGCTTCGGTCGTTGTATAACTCAGCTTCATTGAAAGTGACATTCTTGCTTCTGATTACCTTATGTTTATCGAAATCATAGAGTCTATAACCCATCTCGTCTGACCCATAGCCGATAAGTGTGTACTTCTTGGCCTTGGCATCTAACTTATCCCTGTTTTTCAATAAACTGTAAGCAGCACATCCAAAAATTCTTAGATGTGTAAGTTCTACCTCCTTTCCTCTCCATTCTTCCTCTGGTATTTTGAAATCCAAAGGGACAGATGGCCCACGGTTGATCAGATGGGTTGCAGTGTTAACTGCATCGGCCCAGAACATCTTGGGCAGACCGGCATTCAACCTCATGCTTCTAGCTCTTTCGTTCAAGGTTCGGTTCATCCTCTCAGCAACTCCGTTTTGTTGTGGTGTTCCCGGAACCGTCTTGATCATTCTAATTCCTCTTTCATCACAATAGTCAATGAACTCTTTGCTAATGTACTCCCCTCCATTATCAGACTTGATGCTTTTTACCTTCAAATTGGTTTCCAATTCAACAGCAGATTTCCATTTCTTAAAAGTATCAAAAACATCAAATTTATTTTTCAAGAAATAGACCCATACCTTTCGTGTTGAATCATCAATGAACGTAACATAATAGTTTGAGCCTCCCAGAGATGAGACTATTGTTGGTCCATATACATCCGTATGCACAAGCTCCAGCTTCTGTGTTTTTGGCGTCTTTCATGTCTTCAAGAATGTAACTCTCTTCTGTTTGCCAAGGACACACGATTCACAGAATTTAGTTTCCACTTTCTTCAAGTCTGGAAACTTTCCCTTATCAGCCAACATTTTTAGTCCTTTGTCGCTCATATGTCCAAGACGTTCAGCCGAAGGCCTCAACGATGCCG